CTATATAATCTTTCATTTGAAAAAGTTTCAAGGCAGAACAGGGATTTTTCCTTCTGAGTCTCAGAGCCTTCTTGCCTCCCTTAGGCAGTGAATCACCATCTACCTCCTGGGTCAGAGAGGGAGCATCGCAGAGTGCTAGAAAGATCAGGATTGGCACTTTGCTATCTCCCAAACCCTCAGTTAAAGGAATCCTCATCTTGTGAGAATTTTGCAAAACCCAGTTGGAGAAGGAGCCATACAACAAATAAAAATCTTAATTTTGGGCTGGGCTTACCTGTAAGTAGGTAGAATCTATGCATCAACGCATTTAATCTGTGATTCAAACAGATCTCCCTGGTTGGGTGTGGTGACTTATGCCTGTAATCCCAGCACTTTCAGAGGCTGAGGCAGGCAGATCACGAGGTCAGGAGTTTGAGACCAGCCTGGCCAACATGGTGAAACCCCATCTCTACTGAAAACACAAAAATTATTTGGGTGTGATGCTGCGCGCCTGTAATCCCAGCTGCTGGGGAGGCTGAGGCAGGAGAATTGCTTGAACCTAGGAGTCGGAGGTTGCAGTGAGCCGAGATCGCACCACTGCACTCCAGCCTGGGTGGCAGAGCAAGACTCTGCCTCAAAACAAACAAACAAACAAACCAAAAAAAACCCCAAAAACTCTCCTTTTAAAAGTTATAGAAGAAACTGAAATTATTTTAATTAAGAATGGTCAGACCTATGACACTATTTTGTTCTATTTCTTTCCTTTGATCAGGTCTGGGATGATCATTTTTCAAATCTTCCAATCATCATTATCTTAGTCACTTTTCCTGTGTGTTCATCGGCACAGGCACCCCGGCAGCGGTTGCTTTGTTAATGGCTCTGGGCCACACCTTCTCTTTCCTTTGCTCTGTGGTGGTCTACGTCTTGATTCTATGTGAATGGCTCCTTTCAGAAAGTCCCACCATGATCAAACCAACTAGACGTGGTTCCTCTGTTTTCCAACCCACCTCCCACCCAAGTTAGGCCAATGCTTGATCAGAAAGGCACTATTTACTCACCTTAGAATTTCAACAATTTCCTTATCAGAGCACTCATCTCATCAAAGGAGAGGCCAGAAAGAGTATTTTATAATCTGTGGAAGTAAAAGTTCTTCTCTCTCCTTCATCCTCTAAGAGATAAATGGAGATTATGCAAGTGATTTTCCTTTATAATTTGCTTTTTGTTTAAAATTTCCCCCATGTTTACAAAATAATTCCTATCTATGCCTAGAGAATTACTGGAATGAGAGTTACTGAATGCTAATAATAGTTTCTTAGGGAGGAGGCATGTAGGGTGATTTTTATTTTAGATACTGGTTCCTGCTCTTTAGTTTTCTGTATTGATTGACTTAAAATTGAACATGTAAAGTTTCGTTAAAAAATAAGGCCATTTAAAACATGTTTTTTTTTGGTTTGTTTTAGAAATGGGAGTCTCTTTATGTTGCCCAGGCTGGACTCGAACTGCTGGGCTCAAATGATCCTCCCCGCTCAGCCTCCAGAGTAGCTGGGACTATGGGTGCACATGACCATGCCTGGCTTAAAAGAAAGTCATTTTAAGAAGGAATTTTTAAAAGCACACACACAGCAACAATGCCATACTTTTTCAAATGATTTTGTGTGTGTGTTAGTTTCTGAACACCTCACTCAGCAGACCAGTTAACCTTACAGGCCGGATTAACACATTTCTTCCCAAGCTCTGTTCAAGGCATGTTTTGAGATGAAAAGAAAGTTTCTATGAATATGGAGGAAATGTTCTCCTTCATTTCAGAAGGCATAGTTGAATTATATTATCAGCTCACGAAGCCTTTGTAAAATACACCTAAGGGACTTTTTTTTTTTTTTTTTTGGTCAGACTTCTCTAAAGACAACCAAAATGGTCAGTTGGGAAAACTGTTCAGAAGTTACAGCATGTGGGCTCTTCCCAGCATCTTTAAAAAGAAAGAAACTAGTCAGGTGTGGTGGTGCCTGCCTGTATTCTCAGCTACTCGAGAGGCTGAGGCAGGAGGACCATTTGAGCTCAGGAGTTCGAGGCTGCAGTGAGGTATGATCGCTACACTGCACTCCGGCCCGGGGGACACAGCAAGAGCACATCTTTAAAATGTTAATAACAAATAATAAAGTAATTGAAAAGAAAGTGAGTCTTGCTATAAATAAATGCCAGTTCTCCCTTGTTGAGCATCATCAGCTACGCTTTGGATATGCATTCTTGGAGTTGATTTCAACTTTCTTTTTTCTTGTTTTGAGGAGCATGCTTAGATTTAAACTTTTAATTGAAGTGTAATATGCATGGAAAAATGCGGATCTCATAAATACACAACTCAATTAATTTTTAAACTCAACATTCTTCTGTAACCATCACTCAGATCAAGAAACAGAATTTTATACACCTACTGTGTACCTACAAAGATTTAAAAAATAAAAAAGGGGAAAGAAAGAATCAGTATACAATATATCAGCACCCCAGAAGTGCCCGTCATATCTTCTTACAATCGCTAACCTCCTACCCTCCACCCCAAGGGTAACCACAATCTTTTTATTATTATTATTATTATTACTAAGTTTATTTTCATTGTCTCAGGTCTGCTGAACTCTGGATCCAGGGTGTGTCAATAGGGTAGTGTGGTGCCTCCTGTACCTATCTCTGCCTCCTACAGTTATTTTTATTTATTTTTGATAGTAGAGACACGGTCTTGCTATGTTGCCCAGGCTGGTTTCAAACTCCTGGGCTCAACAATCTTCCTGCCTCGGCCTCCCAGAGTGCTGGGATTGCAAGTGTGAGTCACCGCACCCGGCCAAGTCCTTTATCATCTCCCAAGAAGACTATGAGAGAGATTTGGGGCCCAAGTTGATAATATCAAATACACTGAACTTGACTGTGTTCACCATGTCTGGCTCTAGAGAAATGAGAGCTGCTAGTGAGGGTGGTGCCATTCTGTGTATCTTCTGTACCTTGAAGTCTCTCAGAAATCTTGCCCCTGGTCTTCTTGTTCTAAGGACACAACAGGTTCCCTTTTTCTCTGGAGATGAAATCTAGATCTTCGATTTTGGAACCAAATTTGGACTCTTGACTCTGGAACACTAATTTCTTTAGCAAGTTTTTTCCTGGAATCAGTCCTAGGGTATGGGTTTTTCAAAAATGCCTTGATGAGAGGGAATAATTGAGAGGCACTGTAGGTGGTACAACACCGTCGAGCTTCTCTGCTTTGAAACTCTGCACCAGGTCGATCTTGTCCGTGGCTCTGGCTTGATTCTAAAGTCTCTGGTTCTGGTCTTTTCTAGAATCCACGCCTAGCTCTTCAATTCTGAAACCAAATCTGGATTTTTGACTGATTTTCTGTACTGATTTATAAACCAAGTTTTTGTTTGGTAGAATAACCTGAGCAAAGTTTTTGATTGAAGGTATTGATGAGGATTTTCAATTGATCTGTGAGTTTGCTGCAACTGTACCTATAATTTGTTGCTACCATCTTGTGTGAAGCGGTGTCTTTGGTCATGCTGGAAGAGAGTCCTGGAAGCTGAACTACTGTCTGGGAGACCCATAATCTCAGCTTCTTCATTCTGCCAGTTTTGTACTTTATGTAAGTGCAGTATTGACTCTTTCCTGTTTAGCTTTTCATTCAAACTCATGCTTGTGAAATTCATCTAATTTTGCGTGTAATTATAGATAATTCATTTTCTTTTTGTATGATATTCTACTGTGCAAATATATTACAATTCATTCTACTATAGACGGTCATTTGGGCAATTTCAGTTTTGAGCTATTATAATCAGTTATTATATTTATAATCAGCTATTATAGTATACTATGCACATCTAGTACATGACTTTTGGTAAACGTTGTAAACATTTCTGCTAGGTATGTGCATAGGAGCAAAACAGGGTATGCAAATGTTTAGTTTGCTAGACACTAAATAGTTTTCTGAAGTGGTTGTACCAATTTACCACCAGCCATACATGAGTCCCAGTGGAATATAAATGTAGAATTTCAATTTTTATAAGAGTTGTGCTGAATGGTAACTCTGGAGCTACCCTGAGCCCCAAAGATGATGAGGCAGAGGAGTTTTTCCAAAAAGTTTGAATCACCATTACTTCTTCACGTTCATTTTCAGGTCAAAACACCCCTGTATGTCAGGTATGGTGGTGCAGGCCTGTAGTCCCAGCTACTCAGGAGGCTGAGGCAGGAGAATTGCTTGAGCCCAGGAGTTCGAGGCTGCAGTGAACTATGATCACACCACCAGACTCCAGCCTGGGTGACAAAGTGATACCCCTGTCTCTAAAAAAAAACAGTGAAATAAATAATAATAATGATAATCATAATAAATCCTTGTAAAATAGACAGAGGTATGCCTTATGCCATTTTCTCCTGAAGCTGAGGAAATAAGGCAAAAGAGATCAAATGTTTTTTCTAAGAGCCCTACTAATCCTGTATTTCCCACTAGCTCCAGAGCTTTGATTTTAGGTGCATGTGCCTACCTGTGAATTTGTTACAGAAAAGGCATGCTCAGGCTGAGGCTGGCATTTCTATAACATTGCTAGTTTCAAACCACAAGTCTGAATGCCATGAACCCTCATAGAATGTGAGGGTTTATTCCGCTGACAATTAGCCAGGTAGAAAGGGCATATTCATAAACTCTCTTGCCTGAACTTGGAGCTTTTTTGACAGTTTTTTGTTTGTTTGTTTTTGAGACAGAGTCTCACTCTGTAGCCCAGGCTGGAGTGCAGTGGCATGATCTCAGCTCACTGCAACCCGGCTTCCCAGGTTCAAGTGATTCCCCTGCCTCAGCCTTCCAAGTAGCTGAGATTACAGGCATGCGCCACCACGCCTGGCTAATTTTTTTGTATATTTAGTAGAGTCGAGGTTTCACCATGTTTGTTGGCCAGGCTGGTCTCGAACTCCTGATGTCAAGTGATCTGCCCACCTCGGCCTCGCAAGGTGCTGGGATTACAGGTGCTGACAGTTTTAAATGGAAAAAGGAGCCTATCCAGGTTTCCTACCCTGGTTTCTTATCAGACTCAGCTGGGCAGCTTTTTAAGCTACAGGTTTCCCCATCCCCACTCAAGGACAATTGAATTGAGGTCCTCGGAATTGGGACTTGGGAATCTGTATTTTATGAAGTTCTCAAGGTTCTGATTTAACTGGAGGCCAATAGCAAACCTTTGACTGGAATCACTGTTGCTCTCATTTAAAAAAAAATAACCATCCAATACACTTTACCAAAATCCTGAGAACAAGAAGAGAAAGTGAATTTAAAATCAGACTTTCCCCCCTTCTTTAAAATACTCTATCAAAAGACAGTATTTCGGCCGCCAGGCTTCCTTCTGCAACAGGCGTGGGACTCGCTCTTGCTCGCTCTCTTTCTGCCGCCATCTTGATTCCCCGTTCCCTCCACAAAATGCCCGGCGAAGCCACAGAAACCGTCCCTGGTATAGAGCAGGAGTTGCTGCAGCCCCAGGCTGAGACAGGGTCTGGAACAGAATCTGACAGTGATGAGTCAGTACCAGAGCTTGAAGAACAGGATTCCACCCAGGTAACCACACAACAAGCCCAGCTGGCGGTAGCAGCTGAAATTGATGAAGAACCAGTCAGTAAAGCAAAACAGAGGCAGAGTGAAAAGAAGGTACGGGAGGCTATGTTCAAACTGCGTCTTCGACAGGTGACAGGAGTTACCAGAGTCACTATCCGGAAATCTAAGAATATCTTCTTTGACATCACAAAACCAGATGTCTACAAGAACCCTGCTTCGGATACCTGTATAGTTTTTGGGGAAGCCAAGATCAAAGATTTATCTCAGCAAGCACAACTAGCAGCTGCTGAGAAATTCAAAGTTCAAGGTGAAGCTATCTCAAACATTCAGGAAAACACACAGACTCCAACTGTACAAGAGGAGAGGAAGAGGTCGATGAAACAGGCGTGGAAATTAAGGACATAGAATTGGTCATGTCACAAGCAAATGTGTCTAGAGCAAAGGCAGTCCGAGCCCTGAAGAACAGTAATGATATTGTAAATGCTATTATGGAATTAACAATATAATCATCTGAAAGCAACATTTTTCGGTGTCTCAAAGGAGTAACTGCAGCTTGGTTTGAAATTTGTACTGTTTCTATCATAAATAAAGCTGTGGCTTCTTGTTGGATGAAGAAAAAAAAAAAAAGACAGTATTTTGCCAGATTAAACAGAAAAGGGAGTTCAGTGGAAGATGGCTCTGATTTCAGGGTAATAATAATGGTAGGTAACAAGTGGCATTTTAAAAATTGCTGAATGCTTGCTGGGCACAGTGGCTCATGCCTGAATCTCAGCACTTTGGGAAGCCGAGGCAGGCAGATCACCTGAGGTCATGAGTTTGAGACCAGCCTGGCCTACATGGTGAAACCCTGTCTCTACTAAAAATACAAAAATTAGCTGGGTGTGGTGCTGTGCACCTACAACCCTGCTACTCAGGAGGCTGAGGCAGGAGAATCACTTGAACCTGGGAGGCAGAGGTTGCAGTGAGCTGAGATTGCACCACTGCACTCCAGCCTGGGTGACAAAGTGAGACTCTGTCTCAAAAAAAAAAAAAAAAAGTTGCTGAATGCTTTCACATATGTAATTTCACTTAATCACTCAGGATCTCTTTAAGGTAGACATAGTAATTCTCAATCTACAGAAGATGATATTGAGGCTTGGAGGTTAAATGCCTCATCTGAGGACATATATGCATGAAATGGCATAACTAGGACACAAACCCAAGTTTCCTGATTCCAAATTTTACCTACTTCTCACTGTCGTGCAGTGCTCTGGGAGTCAGGAAGCTCCCTCAGGGTCAATAGGAATTGAGTGTTTTGACAACTCTGAATGAGGGCCGTGAGTCTAACTGGACTCCATTCCATTCTCCTCCCCTCCCTCTCTTTGCCCTTCTCCCTTCCTTCAATATCCTTTTAGTGTCTCCCAAGCAACAGGTTATTTGCAATGTGCTAGGGAATCAGAGATTAAAGAAAAAGTCCCTACCCTAAAAAAAATTCATAGTCTGGTGGGGAGATAGACAAATCATTGTGTGGTGATGCACTAAACATCAACCCAAATAGGTCAAAATTGGAAGGGGAAATTATGCCCTGATCACCCATCCAAGTGGCCATGTAAATTTATAAGAAGCCTACATTCCTAAAGGTAAGAGGAACTTGCTTTGATGAACTGTCACTTCAAAGGAGGCTGTTTTATTTGGAAACAATTCCTCTGCCTTCAATATCCTATTAGTATATCCCTCAAAATGTGTGTTTAGATCTTTAATTCTGTAACATGTGTTTACCCTTTCCTGATTAAATTCAGAAGCATGCCATCTTATTAGTGGTTCATTTGCATACTCTTTCAGGAATGATAATGTTCAAAGAGGTATAGGGGCCTTAAACAAGTAGGGGAGGGCTGGGCGCCGTGGCTCATGCCTGTAATCCCAACCCTTTGGGAGGCTGAGGCGAGTGGATCACAAGGTCAGGAGTTTGAGACCAGCCTGCAGCCTGGCTAGCATGGTGAAACCCCGACTCTACAAAAAAAAAACACAAAAAACAAACAAACAAACAAAAGTCTAGGGATAGGCTTACAGATTTCCTTCTAGGTCGTGTGTATAGGAAAAACAACTTCGAAGATACTAGGGAGATAGTTCTGTTTGTAGTCAGCAACCAGGCTGGATAGAGCATGGATAGGTAGATGAGTGTGTTCACAGGTGTGTGGCAGAGGTCAGTAGCAGACAAACTTTCCAACATACTGCTTCAATAATTGTCTTCATTAGCGGCAATAAACTATGCACTTTGCTTTCAAACACCTAAGAATTATTTGACAATAATAAATAGTTGCTAAGTGCTCCCTGGGTACCAGCAGCTTCTTAGGCATAGAGTCCATAGTAGAAAAGTAGACAGATACGTTCCTGCCCCATGCTTCTCCAAATAGACTACTGATGACCAATCAAACATTCCTAGAAAATTGAGTGTGAGCATTGCTCTTAAATCTAACATTTTCCATAATTGCTTAACCCACTTGACATTTCTGAAGCCTTGCACACTCTTGATGGCCCATTTCTGAGTATTAGTCTCCTTCTCATCTTCATTATGTCCCCTCTGACCAATTGTGATATCCTCTCCACTTCCCTCTCTGCTCCAGGGTCTCCAACTTTGAATCCAGTCTCATCTTTCAGTTCTCCATTGAGGTTATCTTTGTTCTGCTTTACAACTATAAATAATGATAACTGAGAATTGCATGGGCTTTTAAAACATTTACAGAGAAAGTTCCATCCATTATCTGAATCAAAAATCATTGAAAGCTTCATTGAGTCCTGGCCCCAGCCCTCGAGGGGAGCACTGAGGTTCATCCCAGACAACACAGTCATCATGTGATGGACTCACACTCTCTTCTAATCCTTGATTCTTGTTCTTTCTATCTGTTTCGGGGGGATTCCTAGGAAGCACACCATGGGATGAAGGTTCACATACAGGAGGTTTATAACTAATATTTTTGGGGTCAGTGCTGTGGAAGAAGAGAAGGGGAGGAAGCAGGATTGGGCAGAGGAAGAAGTCGCGCTGCAGTACAATCTCAAAGAAAGTCCCGTTTGACCTGACTTAGAATTCTGAAGATGGGATGACTCTTCTGAACTGTCTGCTTGTGAAGTTAGACTGACAGCTGAGGGTTGTGGGCCGGCAGCACCCTCAGCAGCGAGGCAGGTGAGCCCTTCAGTCGTGGATGGGCATCTGGGCAGTACGTCACAGCATCCACAACACGATTCCTCGTGCATGACATTCGCTCAACATAACTGACTTGACTTGCTGTCTTGAGCCTCAGTATCTAGAGCAGGGAGCTCATGGAGAAGGGGAGCTGAGTGCCTGGGGCCAGGACCACTACCCTTGGTGGTGGCAGAGCAAAAAAGAGGCTAGAATGGGTCTGATCAAATCCCAGCAGATAAACGAGCAAAGGCCGAGGTCAGAGCAAAGCAGACAACGATATTTCTTACCTCAAGTCTTTATTTATTTATTTATTTATTTAACAGATTCTCACAACTGCTATCCTGGAAATTCGCCATCACCCCTAAAATATCTAACCACATTGTCAATTGTGCTGCCTGGTCAAGGACTGGGGACCTGTCTCAGAGTGATCTTTCTTAAACACAGATCTAGTCATGACTTGGTTTTGCTCAAAACGTTTCAATGGCTCCTGATTGCCTGAAGAATGAATTTCAAATTTCTAAGTAGACTCTCCAGCTCTTCAAACCTGTTCTCATCAGCCTCTCTAGCACCATCTCTGGTGACTCCTCTTGGGGACTTGGGAGAGCCACACCAGGCTGCTGTTCTTATCTCCTTCAAATGGGCAGCCTGTTGTCCTAGCCCTGTGGCTCTGCCTTTGCTGATCCTGTCACTTGAATGAGCCTCTCTCTCTCCTGGGTCTGGTAAAATCTCTCTTCTGTAAAGCTGTTGAGAATGCCTGCTCCATATCCAGCTGCAAGTCATCACTCTTCCTGACTGCTTTGTTTATACTGTTACAGTAGCACTTAGCAAACTTTACTGCACTTCGCTGCATGCAAATCTGATAGGTTGCTCTGATAGAATGTAAACTCCGTGAAGGCCAGCCTGGGCTCCTCCATGTCAGCAGAGCTCCGTAAATACTTTCATGTTTTAAATGAGTAATGAATAAACCGTTTTTAAAAATGCTTTCTCTTTTACTCCTTTCAGATCTTTCCAGGAAGGATAAGCTAGAGAGAAACTGTTTCTACTGAGAATTCACTTTAATATAAGGCTCCCTGAGAAGAGGTTCTGAAATAAACAAAATAGTGGCACCATCATGAGATCCTAGAAATGCTCCTTGGACAAACCTGAAAGTCCTGAGGAAGTAAGATGCCTAGTACCATAGTCTTGGGTGATTTGCTATAATGCTCTCTCTGTTAGAAAGAAAGTTTTAAAAATAAAAGCTTTTTTTTTTTTTTTTTTTTTTTTGGGACAGAGTCTCAGTTGTCCAGGCTGGAGTACAGTGGCACAATCTAGGCTCACTGCAACCTCTGCCTCCTGGGTTCAAGTGATTCTCCCGCCTTAGCCTCTGAGTAGCTGAAATTACAGGTGCCTGCCACATGCTTGGCTAATTTTTTTGTATTTTTAGTAGAGATGGGGTTTTCCATGTTGGCCAGGCTGGTCTCGAACTCCTGACTTCAGGTGATCCACCGGCCTCAGCCTCCCAAATTGCTGGGATTACAGTCATGAGCCACCGCACCCAGCCAGAAAAGCTTTGGCATACTTCTTTCAAATGATTTTCAAATGAGAAAATATAATTAATGTGTATCAAAAGGAAATTCATAACATCCATTTTCTCCTGTGGCTGTTACCTAGCCAAAAACCTTTGGCAACTATGATTTCAATATTCTTTACTTTGCTGTAAGAAATTGATGTGATCTAATGAACAATTATGAATTTATTGACACCGGGAGACTGGGCTCTAAAAGGACAAGCAGGTGCTTTGCTAAGCAACTCTAACAATCTCTGCTGACGGAAAAGAAGACAGTCACTGCAGCCAGGTGTGCTTAACCCCACATGCTATTCTCAAGAAGGGTTGACACATCACAGAATGGGAGACCCAAATCCCCTCCCACAAAACCTTTTGGTCACTCAGCACTTACCACGTGCCGGGCACCATGAGCTTGAGCTCCATGCTTACAAGTCTCATGTAATCTTTGCAAGAACCTAAGAGATAAGAAAAACTTTCATGACTTGCATTTTACAGCTGAGGTTTTCAGAAGTTAAGGAACTGCCCAAGATCATGGGTCCTCTCAGCTGCAACGCAGGACTAGAATAGAGTTCTGAGTAACTGAAGCCTGCGCCCTAAACCTGCTCCTTGTGAACTTGACTGCAAGTTAGAATCATCCTGGGATTGTGGAAAGATGCAAAATAAATCAGACAAGCAACAACAACAAACAAATATATATATTGTGACATGGGTGAGGGCTCTCTAGAAAAATACAGGACAGAAAAAGAATAGTGATGTGTGGAGAAGGGGTAGGTTGCCATGTTAAATGATGTCAGGAAAAT